CCCCGCCTAATCCCTGCTTCGTGCTGCCAGGCTGTTACTCCAGAGGGGGTCAGGGTAGGCTAAGGGATAGGAAGACATCCCGGGGTACCACCTGCCAACTCCACTTCCAAGATGCATCTACTGGGAAGACATATAACCTCAGATGGCCAGCATCCATCCATACTTCCCTTACTGGAACTGGGCAAAAAGATGGGAGCTACAATCCTGTGATTCTGTGATAGAGAAAAGTGGCATGATGTGGCGTATCCAAAAAGCCTGAAGCCTAATATTTGACTCCACAAAGATGACCATAGTCTTTACTTGCCCAAAGTCAGCCCTCATAGCAAATTGAGAGAAGCCTTCCTGTCTAGCATCAAGAGGCATGGAGCAAGGTAGGTGCACGGGGCACCTGGAGCTGAATGAAGGACCGTGTCAACTGGAATAGGAAATGGGAGACAAATACCATCCCAAGAAATCATAGGAACACCCAGGTTGGACAAGATCTAAGATCATCCAGTCCAACCAGCCACCTACCATCAATATTTCCCCACTAATTCCTGTCCCTTAGTACGTCTAAGTGTTTCTTGAATACATGCAGGGACAGTGACTCAACCACTTCCCTGAGCAGCTTGTTCCAGTTCCTAACCACTCTTTTGGAGAAAATTTTTTTCCTAATATCCAACCTGAACTTCCCCTGGCACAACCTGAAGCACTACCAGAGCAGGGGAGAACAAACTGAATATCCCAACAGTCTTTCCTTGGAGCATACTGCTGTCAGCTCCTGTTACGTGGAGGTGAGTGTCAACTGAAAGAGGCACTGATTTTGAGAGTGTTTCAATAATTGGTACAATTAATGTTATAAATTTTATTAGGGATTAGGAACTTGTGCTTCATAAATGGATGGTAGTGTGATTGCTTAGAATAGGTCAATAGTTCAGCTTTTTTTTTAAATGCTAATGGCTCTAGAGCAACATTTCTCTGGAAAGGAAACTGCTTTTGGAGCAGAAAAGGCACATGCATGCGCATGCACAGGGGAAGAGTTCATATTTTCCATCCCATCTGGCAGGGACTTGATAAAACGAATTGCACATACTGTCTATTTAGCAGAGGCAAGCAACAGATACCTAGAGCTAGGAGAGGGGCTGCTTGCTAATGCAGAAAAAATCCCTCACAAAGGATCCGCTTGCAAAATGAGCTTGTAAGGGAAAGAACCAAAGACCTCCAGCTGATGCAAACTGGCACAGCTTTATTGCAGACAGTGGGATGGTGCTGATTTGCACTAACAAAAACATTTGGGCCTATACTTCCATGTGATAAGAAATCTGAATAAATTCAGCTCCAAACGAAGCAAGCTCTGCACATCTCAAAGCAGGTGCTCCCATGTGGCTCCAATCTTTCAGCCCCCTGGTGCAAGTGAGTCACCGATCACACCAATAATAGAAGAGCTCTGACTCTATTTCCCTCCATTAATAAATTCAGTGGGGTGTGCCCATCTGTTTTTCATCTTTGCCCATGTAGTCCCTGGACAGTCATCTCACACTGCTCCTTCGAAGTAGGGAAAATCCTGGGTGCTGCCAGCTGCCCTGCCCGCACACCGCCCTGCAAAGCCCCAAGGAATCCCTCTGCAGACCTGCCCATGAAAAAGACAACTCTGAGCGCCGAAACCTGGGATTAAGACACTTCAGCAGCTTCCTCACACATCTGGTGCGCGTTAGGAGGAATACACTGGCAGGGAAAATGCACTCAGGCTCCAAGCAGGGCTGGTTAACCCTTTGGTGACTGCATCTCCATGGAGCACCCACAGAGCACGGGAGTTGAGAAACACCTGCTAGTAACCAGGAGAGCTCAACTCAGATCTCAGCAGTGGTTTTGGGAGCTCAGAGCAATTCTGTTGCCTAAACATAGGTGTCAAGTGTCATTGGAGATATGCAAGCCCTGTCAGGTGTCCCAGTAAGGGATTACCCATACCTGTTAACTGGCACAGTACAAATCCCATGGCTAAGGTATTTCTTTCCCTTCATAAAGATGTCAACCTTGGTTCCCTGACCTTACAGTAAAGATAACCTTCCTTTTCGCACTGTGTGCCATGTGTATAGACTGCCAACTGATGATAGGTGATAGGGATGATGGGTGCAAGGCTGGGATGTTGGAGGGGTTTGGTGTCCCACCAACCAGAAGTCTCATCCCATCACAACAGTGGGTTTTGGCAAAGCCTCTTCCTGGCATTCTCTGGGTCTCCAGCTCTCCCAATCCAGCCTTCCCCCATTTTGCCTTCACACTCAGTTCCACAATAAGCTCTCTCCATAATCCACAGAGAAGGGAATCCCATAGGCTTCAGAGCCAGATTCCAACTCAGAACGTTTTAAAACAACCTGCTGGAAAAACTCCCACTTTTTTCCCCCATTTTCTATAGCCTTCCAGCCGGCACAGTCTTGTGCAATTAAAAATTTCAAATAAGACCTCCAGAGCAATCACCTACTTAACTAGTACACCAAACCTACGGCTTTACATGGCAATCCAGGCTCAGAGGCAAGCTTTCCTGAAAGTAGAAAGGGGTAGTAAAGGCACCTGATATGTCCCTATAATTAGAGGCAGCTCTTTATCCCTAACAACCCAGCCAGAGCACCTTTATCCAATGTGGAAATGCTGAACTGCATTGCCTAGTTTCATGGAATTTTCCAGCTGAACTCTGCTGGCCCTCCTTTGTTTGTTCTACTCCTTTTCACACCAATGCACCCAGCTGGGTCATACTTGGACCAGTTACTCCCAAGCAGGGATCGGCCATCCTTCCCCGAAGGAATCCAGTGTGCTGAGGACTTTCCCCATATCAGTTTTCCTGGCCAACCTGCTTACAGCTATGGGTATACTTAGCAACAAGAGTCATCTTAGCAAGGGCTCTTGAGGCTCCTCCCATGATCCAGAGAATTTGAGACAGCTGGGGCAAGGAAAAGCCTGAGGCTGCTGGCACAGCATCATCCTTCCCTTTCTGCTGACCATACATGGGCTGCTGAGGGCTTCCTGCAGCCCCAGCAAGAGGGAAACAGGGGAATTTAGGAGGTGATCTCTCATCTCACAGCCTGTAGCCCCACAGCAAAGCCTGCTTGTGAGCCATGCTCCAGTGGGATGTCCTGCAAGGCATCAGGTTCACACTGTTCAGTCTTCCCATAGAGAGATGGCAGCTCATGGAAGAGCATAACCCTAGTTTGCAAAGAGCTTTTGCCTAAAGTGAAGAGATCAGGAAGCTGATCTAGCCTCGAGTGAGAAGAGGTAGCCCTAAGCAGCACACAAACACTTCCTCCCTTCATTTTGTGAGTGGAAATCATGAGAACCTAGCAACATTTAATTGCAATCAAAAGCAGGAGAAGTTCAGATCTGCATAGGAAACCATTTCACAAATCAGGAAGGATGTCAATTCTCTGTTTTCCAAACCAAACATTACTTTGCTCTCTATTTTTTCCCCCATCATATTTAGTTCTTTTTCATGTAAATTCAGCTGAAAAAGAAAGGTCTGCATCACACTTTGATCAACACTCACAAACACAACTTTGCAGCAAGTTTAATAAAATTTCACTGTTTTCAAAGAACAGATCACTTCCTACCTTACTTATGGGAAACTCCAGCAGGAAACAGAGAAAGGACAAAGATGACCTTACCTTAGCAACTGATGCTGCTGCATGGCCCCACCTGAGCCAACACAACAAAAATGAAGGCTTGGCTGTCCCAGATACCCCAACAACTGCTCCATCCTCCTGCTGGGTGTACAGAGCACTGCCTGGGATTGCATATACCATGCTGAACCATCACCCCACTCCCCCAGCAGCAAACCTTTTTTATTTCTGCAGGCAGCTGAGCATGCTGAGGCTTTGCACCTTTTGATGCTTCCAGTTAAGGCTTCAGCCAAGCCCAATTGCTGTCAAGTGTCAGCCAAAACACTGCAATCATTAGTGATGGAAGATGACACACCTTTCTCCTCTTATTGTCACTCAGAGGGTGTTTTTCTGTCAACGTGAAGTGTGCTGCCTTTGGGAGAAATGTTAATATGAGCTTTGAAGCTGGAGGAGAAAACCAGGCAACCCCCCAAGCTCCATGGATGCTCAGACTAAACCCAGAGAATCCCAGTCTGAATTCTTTTGTGTGATTTTCAGCCCATCTTATCTCTGCCTCCTTTATTAGGGGCAGCTGTAATTTGGTCTCTGCTGCTACCCTTTTCCCTTTTAAACTCCATGAAAAGATGTCCGTTGCAGAGCAAATTGATGAAGCAACAAAGCAGATCAGGGGAAGAAAGAGAGGTGTAAACTGACAAAAGACAGCAGACTGAAAAATGTCCTAGTTAATGCAGCTTATAGGAATAGTCAACACAAAAGGAAATCAGACCCTCAGAGAAGCATCATCTCTCAACCCCATCCCATAGCTGCATCCAGTGTCACAAGTCATAGAAACATTTGAGTTGGAAGGGACCCTTAAAGGTCATTTGGTTCAACTCCCCTACAATGAACAGGGATGCCTACAGCTACATCAGGTTGCTCAGAACCATGTTCAGCCTGACCTTGAGTGTCTCCAAGGACGTGCCCAGCAAAGACAGCCGAGTGGTAGCAGACAGCAGGTAAAAGCAAGAGGGGCTTGGGTCAACTTCCCACTTTCAACTTCCTTCCCGCAAAAACACTCCACTCGTGCACACAGTGAGAGCAGAAGGGTTTGTCCCCACCTCATCTTAAAGATAGGTTTCAACAGCAAAGCACTAAGGCAGTTCTGAGTCTCGTAGCCAGACCCCTAGCTAACCTTACATGTGGTGGAGGCCAGGTTTTCCATTGGATCAACATCCCATTGGCCTTGAAGTTCAATGGAGATAGGACCTAGGAGATGCCCAAATCTCGCCCTATCTGGAAGGCCTCTCCAAAAGCATCTGGCCACCTTTACGTCCCATGGATCCTCTTCATTTCAGCCCCACAGACTTCCTCCCCCACCAACAAACCCAGCTCCCATCCTCCCAGATTCACAGATGTTGGGCTCCCCAGCTTCACCTCTCGCTCTCCTGGAAGGATTCATCTCCTGCTTGATCTGTGCCTCCTGCACCCTCCTGGCACTCCTCAGGGTCCGACATATCCCCTACTGGCTGGCACGAAGGGATGATGCAAGAGGGTTCTGCCGCCGCTGCTTTGCTCTTCCTGCGCTCAGCAGAAGTGAGCTGTGCCGGAAACTTTGTGGGCTGAGGGTTCAGGGGGGATGGGAGAGGAGCAGAGGGAATGCAAATTATTATATTTTTTTAACAACCGTTTGGATTACTTTAAGGTTTTGCCTGTCAGAAGCTTCGAAAGTGGGAAGTGTTAAGCTAAGATGAAGGGACAGCGGGGGGGCATGGTCATCCTCCCCCCTCCTCCCCACAGCAGTAAGAAGGGCAGCCCATCACTCTCCAGAGCCACTCATGGTTCAGGCACGGCCAATTTGGGGTAATACTGCAGCCTTAAACTGCAGCACCCTACAGTGAATTGGGCACCATCACCACAGGCACGAAAGTAGTCTTGGTCTGAATATAACAAGCCACTCTGCTTTGGGCACTCAGCATATGCTGCCCCTGCCTCTGGAGATCCCCAACCTCTGGAGATAGTTGTTGTGCACTGTCAGCATACTCTGTGTCCCCATCCCCCCCCCCCCCCCCCCCCCCCAGCTGAAAGCTTCTACCTTTCAGCTATCACCCTTTACATCATGTTCTAGAACATTCCTTCCCTGCTCCAGGTATTGGAACAGGCTGCCCAGGGAGGTGGTAGAGTCACTGTCCCTGGAGATATTCAAGAAAAGGGTAAGTGCTACTCTGAGTGATGTGGCTTAGTGGGTATGGTGGGGATGGGTTGATGGTTGGACTAGATGATTTTAGTAGTCCTTCCCCTCATCTTCCTCTGCCCTTTGAGCCAGCTACCATTGCCATCAAGTGTGGAGGACCAGTGGAATTTCCCAGGGCTTGAACTCACCTTTATCTACAGGGAAGCAGAGCCCAAACACCCTATTCATAGACACAAGAAGTAAAGCCCTGTAAGACCCCTTCAGCTCCTGGCAGAGGCAGTCTGTCTATCCCCAGCTCTGGAGCTGAGCTGCATGAGATGCCTCAAGATAGGGTGCAGAGCTTGTTGGCCCAGGAAAGGTGCCCAGAGAAGTGGTTTGGATGGGGACAGCTTCTGGAGACTGCTCAGACTGTGACCTTTCAGCAGGTCTCAATCCAGAGAGAGAAGGAAGAAAGGTGCTCCTTGCTCTGGGCCAGATGAAGGACGTGGAGAGGAGACACAGCACAGCATCACGTGCACAAAGTCTGATGCAAGGATAAATTGGAGCCACCTCCTGACCCACAGACTCCCCCTCAGAAAAGAAGCAGAAGCAGGAGGAGGTGTGGCACTGTGGCATGATCTCACCCATTTCCTTCCTCTGGCAGATGGTTCCTCACCACCCCCCAGTCGCCATCCCTCCCTTCTGTCTGCCCTGGTAGCTTCTGAAGGGAAGCTCCTGAAATGGGAGACATGAGGGCAGGCTATGAGTTAGAGAATGGATCTCCAGCTTAGAAGAGAGGCCTTTCTACCCTATGACAAGATAGAGGCCAAGAGAGAGGGAGGTGGGGGAACCCCCTGTGCTGCTGACCATCAAGTCAAGCAGCCTGTCAATGAAGATAGGTGTCCTCAGTGTGTTCCCACAACCATAAGCATCCTCAGTCCCACCACGGCAGGCCACATCGCCCTCTCCCATGAAAGCTTTATTTACACTGCTGCTTCCAGACTGCAGCTCTTCACAAAATCAGAGAAACAGCACCCAGTCAGTGGGTTCAATGCATGGCGAGGACATGTTGAGGTTCAGGGCAGGGAGGTGGCCATGCTCACAGCTGTGGCCATGCTCAGGAGGGGATGGAAGAGGGTGGCAATGGCAAAAGTGGAGAGACCAGTGCTTAGGACTCGCCAGCCTCAAACATCTTCTTCCTGCCCTCCATGCCGGATTTCTCCTCAATGTTCTTCCTCCAGTCACCCACATCACGAAGGTCCTTCTCCTGCAGAAGGGAGAATTGTGCATGAAGAGGTGGACCCATGGGGTAACAACTGACCCAAACAGTGCCCTTTCACCCATCCACCCATGGGAACCTCACCACAAGTGCTCAACATTTCACCTCCCCTGGAAAACTTAGCTAAAGACTCCCAATTCCACCCCTGCTGTGTGTATTTCAAGGCTGGACTCCGTGTTTACAACCACATGGGAGTTGGAGGAGGGAACATGGAGCAGGAAGGACATTACTGACATAAGCTCATGCTCTGCCAGTCTATCCTGCAGAGAGATGTCATCCCCAAAAGTTGGGAGCTTATGCCTTAATGGGAGTGGAATGGTACCTTCTCCGTGTCCTCCTTCTTGACTTGCTTCAGGTTGGCCCGGAGGTCCATGTTGACCTTGTGCTTGGATCCCAGCAGGGCACGCAGCATGGCATCAGCAGACATGCGCACCCGGCGCAGGGGTGGCCTCTTGAACTTGCCCCTCAGGTCAAACAGCTTCTGGTTCAGGTCCTCCAGCTGTAGGGAAGAGAGAAGTGGGCAGAAAGAGCAGAGCATGAGTTTTGTGAGACAGACCATGCACCAGTGAGCAGCATGGAGAGGAATGAAGGATGAGCTGGATGCTCCAGTGGATGCTCACCTCCTTGTTAGTCTTCTGTAGCCTCACCTCTGTGTCATACCTTTCCTCATCCACTGAATCTATCTTGGCATGAAGCTTTTTGCATAGTTCCTGGGAGGAAAAGTAGACAGATGTTGAGTAATAGAGCATGCCATGCAATTCCTCTCTCCTGACCACTTCCTTCTCCTCTGTCTCTGAAAGACTCCTCTACCTCTGTCTCCCAAAGACTAAAAAAGGAGCAAACCACCACTCAATACCAACCAATTCCAGATGATGAAAGGTATTTTGCAACCCAGCTTCTGGTCTTTGAGCAACCACCTTCACACAAATGCTGCCCTCATGTCCTTGTACTGGCATCCATCACCCGACACATCCCAGAAATGCCAATCCCTGTCGCTCCACAGTGAAGGGAGGCTCCCAGGGATGGGAAACAGTCAAGATGGGAAGGACAATCTAAATGCAGCAGTCTGTGGGGTGGAGCCCTATACTTTCTGAAATGGAGAAAGGAGTCTTTACCTGAAGTTCCTGCATGGATCCTGGGAGGGATAGAGGAGGGCAATGCTCCGCCAGGTAGTTTTGTTTTTCCACTTCTTTAGCAGCTGCTTCCTTTTCTATTTCAGTGACAGCAAGCTGGAGCATAGCACTCTGGAAAGCAGCAGGAGGGAGATCAACATGGGTTTTGGGCAAAGGAGAAGAACAGGATGGGCGCTCTCCATGTCCAAAATACCAGCATCTCTGAGCAAAGGGGACTCATGGGGACTTCTGGGAAACTCAGGATGATGCTGACCCCAGCCTCCCCCCACTCCAGAGTCTTGCTGCGTGACCTGGTAAGGTGCAGAAAAGGGTATGGGGAACTCCACATTGTGCATCATGGGCTTTCCCAGGCAGGAAAGTGCCAATGGCTGGATGAGAGATGGTACACACCTTGCCCAGCCCCAGCAGTGCCACGTACCTTCAGGTGCTGCCGCCGGGCAGTGGCTGCCCTCCTCTTTTTCTGCAGCAGGGAAAAATGAGAACAAGGTAAGTTATGATGCATTCCTTCATCTTTTCCTCTTGCCTACACAATCCCACAGCTCATCACACATTTGGTCCCCAAACCAGCTTCATCTTTGTCTAGCTTAGGGATATCATGCACCATTAATCAGAGGAATCTTGCTCAGATTCCTCGAGGACTCCAAGCCCAGGGCTTGTTCTCCTTCTGAAAAGTGCTACCTTATCTCAGAGTGCTTTCCTAGCTGTCCCTGGGTCAGTGCGCTAGTGGGCATCCGATGCACCCATTGTATATCAGCACAATAGGTGGGATTTTTTGCATCCCCGCTGCTGACAAATGAGATGCGGCCCAGGAGTTGTTCGGGCAGCGCTTCCCAGCACCATCTCGTGGCCGGCTAGGGAAGCAGGAAAGAGGGAAAGCATTCAAGTGCCAGCAAAGACCCTTCAAAAGGGAATTTTGCTTGTTCTTCCCTTCTTCTCCAGAAGGCATCAGGAAAGCCAGGTCATGGGACATTCTTTCCTCCCACCACTCCACAACCGCTTTTGCTATAGAGGAACTACAAAGCGAGAACCGATGCTATAAGCTCTGTGAAAGGGAAAAGCCCTTCAGGACACACTTACCTCGTCACTGTGCAGGGGGAGCAGATGGGCGAGGAAAGGAAAGAAGAGAAAGGGGAGAAGAAGGCAGTTAGCATCCTCATTGGAAACAAGCAGAGGAGTATGTATGTAAAAGTTGGCAGCTGAACAAGTTTGAACATCAGCAACATACTGGAGACAGAAAATGGGAACTTACTCAGACATCTTGCTTTAGATGGTTGTGAACCTGCAACAAGAACCAAAATAATTCACAATTATTTGTGCTAGCATTGGCTTTCTTGGGTTTAGGAACAAAGCAAGATTTCCCCAGACACCAAAAAGAGGAACAACAGTTTTGCTTGTATTTCCCAACTTCTTCAAATTTCCATCACAGAGGAAACTGGGCTGCAGTCAGTGGATGAAAGGTAAACATGTGCCAGCTCACAGCCAGACGTGCACTGGGACAAGTGCACGTGGCTGGAAAAAGAGAGATTGTGCCAGTGCTCCCTATAGGCTCGTTTTTAACTTGACTCGACAATATACCACTTTACACAATGAAGTAAGAAGGAGGAAAAAAGCTATTATACGTCTGTTGTTCTTTCGTACAGTCCTCATGGTATAGGCCTGTAGCAAAATCAACACAAATATTTTAGGCTTCAATCTTGTTGTCTACCAAAGAAGGAAAACTGCACTGACACCATCATGGACAAGAATCATCCCAAAGACTGGGGAGGCTTCTGGCATAGGGAACAGAGCCAGGCAGTGACTATAGGTGACAAGGATTGCCAGCACGTGTGTGCATTGCATGGGGCAGGGGAGAAAGGTCAGCACAGATAACGAAGCACGGTGCTGAAAGCTATTGGCAAAGGCATGGAGAGATTTCTCAGGGAAAGGTTCCTTTTGATGCCAATTCTTCCCCATAAATGCAGCTTTACTTATCAGAACAGTGTTTCCTGCTCATACCCACCGATGGGTACAGAGAGAGTACTGACTAAGCCCAAATGAAGCCACTCCCTTATAGAGAAGTGAACTCCCTAATAGACAGCAATCTGCAGACCTGGAGACAAAATGTTAATGGGGGTCATTGCCCAAGGAGGAGGTAAAGGCTGCAGGGCCAAGCTCCCCGAGGAAACCTTATCCTGGAAAATGTGCGGGCACAACACATTGCTGGGAAGAGCGGGGGGAGCAAAAGTGCTTCTAAAAATGGCTGGGGAGCTGCACAAGGAGCTGCAGCTGTCTCCTCAGATGCAGCCAGGCCCCGTGACTCAGGGAGGTTGGTGAGACGCGAGGCAAAAGCCACCACAGGTGGATGAGGAGCAGGAGCTATTTTTGCTGGCGTTCCCATATGCGTGTACCCGCACTGAAAGCGCAAAGAGCATGGGGAAGCAATGCCAGATCGGCCCCATAGCAAGGTATGGTCAGTAACAGGGACTCCAGCCTTTGAATTATGGAAACTCGGGTGCTGGGGAGGAAGGGGCTGCACGCAGCAGGCAGAGGGAGGGGTGCAGATGGAGAGAGCTGAAGTCGCTACAATGGAGGATGCTTTTTCCTACTGAGGAGGAGTTATGGAGATGAAGGCAGAGCGCAAAACCAAGTGAGGATGAAACCAAAGGGAAAAAAGGCAGCTGAGAAAGGCAGAGGGAGTGCTCCCGATGCACAGACCCTCTGACCGGCACAGGACAGAGGTGGATTTATCAGCACCCCCATCTCTCCAAGCAGCTCATCTCACCCAGCATTTACCTCCCCAACATTCAGGTGAGCAAATATGCCTCCCTGCCACCCCAGTAAGAGCAAGCTGGTCAGTAAGAGACATGCATAAGGGCTCACCCGAGTCCGGAGAAGGAAAGAGAGCCCCGCTGGCCGGCCAGGACTGACTGGCAAGCCGCAAGCAGCTGGCCAGGGAAGGAGGTATAAAAGGGCTTCTCGGGTAGCTCAGCAGAAAATCCACCTTCTCTTTAAGGGCATGGAGACCTTCTCAGACCAATAGTGTGCAAGAGTCCCCATGCACCTCCCTTGGCTGGGGCAGGCCAGGCAGCCCCACAGGAAAGGAGCAGCTCTGCCCTTGGGGAGCGCTGGCTGGAAGGAGCCCGCAGCATATGCATCACCCCACCAACATTCAGCCACCAGCAGCACGTAGGAGAGCCATCCCTGAGCAAGCCATTCAGTGCTAGCATCTTCTTTTAACCTCAGTCACCGCACAGGAAAATATTTGCAGCTCCTCCCCATGTAAAATATTTTAACACTAAATGTTAAGTTTTATTAAGAAAAAACAAAACCACTCAAAGATGTGGAGCTGCTGCTGGGTAGCCCCATGCTACCAGCAAGTGAAGCAACCCCAAAGGTGCTGAGGTGCACCCCAGATCCACATACCCACGCCACAAGCGAGAGGCGGATAGAAATGGCACTGGAAATATTCACCAGCCTTATCCACAGCAGATGTAGCATGTGTGTGTAGGGGATCCCATGGAGACAAGAGCCCAAACAGCTCTTGTCCTCCTCCCACAGCCCAGGCGCTCCCTCCCCTGTCAGCCAAAGGGTTTTAAGCTGATTCAGATGTGGCTGTGACAAATTTTTCTCTTGGATGTTACAGATAGCAGCAAACATGCTGCTGCAGACTTCCTGTAGCATCATGCACACAGCACAGCAGATATTGTAAAAGAAGACTAAGAGCTCGAGGTGGGACTGGTGTCCTGTTTGGGCAAGGCTGGGTCTGCTCAGGATTAGCCACGCTGAAATGTTGCGAGCATGATGGTTTGGGTAGTGAAATCACCACAACCCCGCTACATCAGGACTCTTGGTTTCACTTCATGGCTTGTAGATGAGAGGTATCACCCTGCAGATCCTCCTAAGTTGCCTGCCTCTCCCAGTTCAAACCAGTTTCTCAGAAAAATAGAGACTAAAGTACATTCAGAAACAGCAGTCACTTTCAGCAGCCAGGAACAGCATTCACCCACTGATGAGAAATTCAGCCACTTTTCTTTCAGTACCAAATCCATAGGCCACATTTGGCTCTAAAGTTAAACCAACTCTTTATTACCCTTTCCAAAGATCCTCCAGTAATTTTCCCCAGCTCTCTACAGAACTACATGCACTGCTGTCCCACCGAGTCCTCCAGATAGCAGCTCTCCTTTCACTTCATTGCTTCAGGTCAGTGCAGAGTGGGTTGAAGGAACACAAAGAAAAGTCCCATGAGCCAAATGTTGGTTAACAGATTTGTCTGTAAGACACAGGAGTCCTAGAAGGTGAGATGTGGTAATAGGGTGAGTGAAAGGCTGAATCTCTCAGTCTGCGAATAGATTTCCCCGGAGCTGCCTTGCAAAGAGGTTAAACCACAGGGCAGCAGTCCTCCAAAAAAAGAAAGGGGCCCCAGATCTAGAATGAGGAAGAAACCCAGTGAACAGCAGGAAGAAAAAATAAATAAATAAATAAATAAACACAAAGCAATAGTTAACATGAAGAGAAACACATTTCCAAGTGAAGTAATGCAAGTGCTTGAGTGACAAATGAATGAGTTCCTTGCAGAAAAACCCAAGGAGAGCATAAGCAAGCTTCAGGCAAGTCCTTCAGGGAAGACTGTGAGCAGTCAGCTGTCTTAGCTCTGTGAACACAAAACATGAACAAGAGCATTGCATGGGAACCAAGAGTGGACACAGCGTTCAAGTTTGGGTACCTTTCCCATGGAGTAGATGACAAGCCTCCATCCCTTGCTCCCCCTCCCCTCATGCTAGAGCAATGCACCGGGGACACGAGCCACCAATCTCAGAGCACTTCCACCAGCCTGCAAAGCTGCTCAGAAACAAAGGTTCGCACTTACAGGAGGTTCTGCACTGTGTTGCAGAGACACTCAAGTGTGACACTTCTGGACCAGGTTCCTCCAGAGAACCACCACGTGATGGAAGCACTGGGCTCATGGATCCATGCAAGTTGCCCCTCGTAGCCATCTCCCCACCTTTACACTGATTTTCTTCCCTTCAGCATCCTACTAGCACCAAGTGGACAGGGACTATGCAGTGACTAGTCCAACATGACACCAATGTGTACATCTAATTTCCATGGAAGATACTGTTGGAAAAAAAGAAAAAAAAACAAGTCCAGCAGCCCAACAGCAACTGTGCTCACAGTAAAAGCTCAGACAGAACAAATGAGTAATCCAGTGGCTGGCTCCTCTTTCCCAGAAAGAATATGAGACTGGGCACATAGAATTTTAAAATGGCTTGGGTTAAGGACCTTAAAAGATCGTGCAGTTCTAACCCCCTGAGCTGATATGTACTTGCACCCTTAGGAAGAAAAGTTCCTGAGAAAAGTTTTCTTCATCCTGAAGCCCAGGGGATTTCCTTACATTAGGACTGAAAAACCTTCAGCCTCTGCTTAAATGAGTCTTTCTCTCTCTCCCTCTAGTGTGTCCCTAAGAGCTCCCCATGCTGTACTTCTGCCAGTACCAGCCTTTAAGAACTGCTGCAAAGAAAGGCCATCACATATGCATCTTGTCAGCACTGTCCTACAGACCCCACACTGACAGTCATCTCATTTACCCATGAGATGTTGTTAAGGCTATTTTCCTTTTGGCTTTTCTTCTTCAGCCACTATGCCTGCTTAGCTCCATGCCATCTTCCTTGACAGGGAGTGCTTCAAGCATGCTACGTTGACACCGCCAGGCTGCAGGGACATCTCCAAACCCACCAGTAGGTCCTGATGGCACTCTTGAATTTTCAGTGGGTACCGTGCCCTCACAAGTTCATAGGCTGCTAGCAGCCTCATGCTGTGCTTGACCATCAGGTATTGGATGACACAGGTAGGGCCTAAGGAGTAACCATCCCTGCAGTGAATGAGCACACGCTTCCCTTTCTCCATCAAGGCTTCGATGCACTCGTTGATGACCAGGAAGCATGGCTGCCTTATTTCATGAAGACTTCCATGCAGGAAAGCCTGGATGTCAACCCTGAGGCGTGACCAGTTGTGCCTGAATCCTCCCCTCCCACAGGTACAGGGGATGATGCTCAGGCTGTGGTCACTGGGCAGGCTGCTCATGTCAATGCTGTTGATGCCATTTGTGCACAGCGCCCGGCCACTGTAGGCTGCATTGAGGTTCCCCAGGTAGATGTAGTCAGTTATCCGAGCAATTATGGGTCCTGTGAAGGGGAAATGTGCAGATTTTTCTGATTTGGGACCAGGGGACTTTTCACAATGAGAGCTCTTCTTCCAGCTCCCTCTGCTAGATTTCCTGGAGCCAGCACAAGGCAGAGAGCTGTAATCAGGCTCAGAGATCCGTGATGGTGGTGAGAAGAGGGAGAAGAGGCTGGAGAGCTTGGCCTTGGAAGGAGAGCCTGCTGAACAAGTCAGAGGAGAAGGAGATGTGAGACTGGGTCTGAGGGCACAGGAACAGGATGCCATCTGCAAAACAGGAAAGGATGGGTGAGTCAGCAGAAACTCATTTCTCCAGCTGCAGGGGTAAGGAGACATAAGCTGGCATTTAGACTCCAACGCATCAGTGGATACTAGAGACTCCAAAGGCCTTGCACATCATCGTCCCAAACACCCAGCCCATTCCCATGGACGGAAGAACAAATATACATTAAGTGTTCACCTGGACCTGCAGACTGCTCCACCAGCCCCGGAGTGCTGTGTTGTTGGAGCAGCCATCTCCTGCTGATGCTGGCAATAAGGAGCAGTAAGTCCCACCACGCTGAAGGGCAACAGGCACTACATCCCCATGCTTCTCTTCATGGGCCCCACTTACTATCAGGTTTGGACAAGAGGCTGTAGGAATAATACAAGTTAGTATAGGCATACACAAGTACTTAAGTGCTTTCATGAGCAGCAGGAACATCTGCTTCCTGAACCTCAGCCTCCAGTGATGAGAAGCTGTATTCATGAGTGAGGAGCCCTAAGCTCAGATCTCACTTCTCACAAGGACTTCTCCCACTTCCATCACAGGCACGTAACTCAGAATGTGCCTTAGTCCCTAGCCTTGGAAAAGCCAACAGCTAACACCTCTGCCCAACACTGAAGTGATGCCCCGAGCAGCTGGGAGGTGATCCATCCATCATTCCCTTGGGATAGAATTATTGCAGTGACCTGACACCTGATCACAGGCCTTCCTGGATCTGGGCAACTTCACACATTGCTGAAGACCAGAACGAGAGCCAGAACATGTCTGGAGAACAGACTGAGACAGTCGTGTGCTTAAATGAGTACGGTTTCAACACGTCTCTGCTCTCAAAATGTCTTAGGTGGACTGTGCCAAAACAAAGCAGCAGAATACTGTGTTAGGGAAAAAAAAAAGAAGAAAAAAGTGACCATAAGGCTCAGAAAATAAAAAACAGAAAAAAACAGAACTCAAGAAATCTCATTGTATTGAACTCTGGCAGCTATGGAGACCTGCAATGGCCTCACCTACCTCCGCAACACTGAGAAAAAGCCATGGGAGAAGAGAGCTGCAGGGAGGTAGGCCTCTGGAAGGTCTTCTGGATGTTCCTCAGAATCCAGCCTGGTAAGGGGAGAGATGAGCTTAGACTGGAATACAACCCAGCACCCTGCCCCAGTGAGCACCTTTCAAGAACACTGTCCGTACCCAAATGTCAGAGGTGGTTTGGGATGAGTGCAATCATAGCAACACAGTATGGAGACCTTCAGGAATTTTCTTCTGGATTTTGCAAATGCGAACCTGTCCTTTGTCATATCTAGAATAAAGTTCCCCACTGGCTTCTCGTAAAATCAAGGCCAAGTATTTTAACCGAGCTGCCAAAATTGTGGCTCCTGTGCTCTGAATTTTAAGCAAGTGAAGAGAAAAATATTCCCAGTCCAGGTAAGCTCAGAACTTGGCTGAGTCTCCACCTGGGCAAGTAAACTCCATACTCATCTCAGGCAGTGGGAATGGGGATCAAAACATGCAGTTTTCTTCATTCCAAACAAATGCTGAAGGGTTCATGTTTTGAGGTGCCTATGCCTGTTGCCACCAGCCAGCTGGCTCAGACAGGGATGTCTGCAATGTCCACAGTTACAAGCAGGATAATGGAGCCCTGACTCAGTTTCATGCTTGTTTGGAAACCCACCATCTTCCTAGATACCACTCAGAGGATTTCAAATAAAACATGGGTCTGGGTTTTTCGTTGTTTTTTTGTTTTGTTTTGTTTTGTTTTGTTTTTTACAGCTTGAGGCCTCATTTCAAAATAGTTGTTCCCAATTAACTTCAAGGTATCAGATCTGTTCAAACGGAACTCTACGGAGTGACCATTTTGTGTGAAGCTAGCATGGCTGGATAAGAAATCCCCCCTTGTTGGCATGCATGCACTCACCCACCTGAGACACTGTTCTTTTTTGGGGGGCACTTTTTGCCCTGCAGCATAAAAGCCACTGCATCCTCATGCTGCTTCTCCGATGGCTCCATCCTGCTGAGGCCTGAGATACATAAAAATGAGAGGTTTAGGTTTTTCTGTTGGACTGCAATGTTGGGACCAAAGGAGCCTTTCAGAAGCAGGAACAACCTCTTTGCATCCGTTACCAGTCCTGGGTTGTTTGGGGAAGGAGGTTTTCTTCAGCCTGCAGATATGGAAGTGATCCCAAAGTAAAAGGGTCCTGAAGACACCTCCATGTCATGAAACTGATCCAGAAGCAAACTGAATCATGGAATCGTTTGAGCTGGAAGGGATCCTTATAGGCCATCTGGTCCAACTCCCCTGCAATGAACTGGGACACCTACACTAGATCAAATGCACAGAGCCCCATCCTGCCTGAACATGAATGTCTCCAGTGATGGGGCATCCAGCACCTCTCTGGGCAACCCACACCAGAGCCTCACCCTCCTTACTATAAAAAACTTCTTCCTTATACCCATTCTAAATCTCCCCTCTTTTGGTTTGAAACCATTCCCCTTGTCCTATCACAACAGACCCTGCTAAAGGGTTTGTGCCCCTACTTTGTTACAGTCCTCTGAATAAACCCTGCTAAGGCAGGAACAGCAGCAGCCAGATTGCAATGGAAGGGGCAAGAGATAAGAAAAAGAGTAGGAACGGGGGTAGAAGAAGTGGCAGGGAGTAGAACTTTTATTTTAAAATAAGAATTATTTTTTAAATGTTCATTATCTGCAATTGAACAGTGAGTATTTCTGTAACTAGGCTAGAAGGTGATGGCTAACAGAATCCAGATCAGAGCACCTGCAAAGAGTTTAGTTTTATTTATCCATAAATATTTGATGTCCTAGCACTCAGTCTTTTAATTCCCTTGAACATATATCCTCAGAGAAACCACACACAGGGGTCAGCCTATCTGTCCCTTAGAATCTGAGCTCAAAATCTGAGCTCACAGATCCACGAATCGCTTTCTCCAGATGCCCACTTCCCTTGAAGTACAAACTCCGAGTCATGCATGGCGCCGAGAGTGCAGCATCCCGGTTATGGAGGCACCCGGAAGGGAAGGCGATGGGGGAAGGGGCAAGGGATGGGAAAAAGAGAAAGGGATCAGGAAATAGGGAGGACAGGAAGGGGCTCCTTGCCTGTGTGAGAAACAAAGAGGCGCACCGCAGCAGTCCCCTCCTCACTCACCCACAGCTGCAGCACAAAGTCTCCCACGCTCCCTCCGGGACCCCACGCTCTTTCCTCTCCCCCTTCCCAGGGCAGCCACCCCCACACCACGCAGGACCCTGCCCCAGAGCATCCCCCCTAGGCGGGCGTTTTACCATGGGCAGGGACACGCAGCCAACACTGTAGGGCCAGGACCCTCGTTCCCCTCATACGGACCCCTCATCCCTCCCCCAGGGAGCAGCAGCAGCAGGGCAACCTGGGAGACGTAGTTTCAGCGCTAAGCATGGCCCAGAGATGCACGGGGGAGTTAGCCCTCCACCTCCCCTCCACTATGGGGGCACTGACTTCCCAAATCCTGCCTTTCATGTCCCTTGCTCCGAGCCCACCCATCCCACAGGCCCCCGCTGCTTTTCCAGGCAAACAAGCAAACTGTGCTTTGCCTCCAGGTTTCAAGCCAGAAGGCATCCTGCTCTCAGTAGTTTGTTTCCCTTTCTCTCTCTCTGCAACCACATTAAAAATATTCCTTAAAAGAAAAAGCTGCAATTGGCATAAGATCCTGCAAGTCCTGGAGCTGAGAAGTTTTAAAAAAGAAACATGTCGCACGGCAAAGTTTCACAATAAAATGGTGAGATAAATATTCATTAACTAGCATCATTATAAAACAGGCAGGCTCATTCCTTGTGAGGGAAGCTTAGATAGTCTCCAGTGCTCAAAAATTGTGAGACTAGCCAAAAAATCTGAGCTGGAGGAGAGCCAGTGCATAGCCAGGCTGAACGATGACAGCCCATAATCATTTTTGTCTCACAGCAGACAAATGGTGACAAGCATGTGTAATGCTCAGCATTAGCCTGATACCGATTTCCAGGCTGATTTCTTGAAGTACAAGAACTTGAACAGATAGTCATAAAATCACCAAATGAGGGAATAATTATCTTTGAGAGAGTCTCCTTGATGTCACCTGCCACAGCCCCAAGTAGGGCCACCATCAGGGCTGGATCCAAAGCTAGGTCCTGCTCAGAACCACATGGTAAGAACTTCTTCAGGCATGGAGATTCCCACCCAATGTCTGACCACCCTCAGGATTATTTCCCTCTTCTCCTTCATACCAATTGCATTTCTCTTGACATGCCCAAGGCTTATTGCTGCTTGCTGGTCAACAGTGTTCAACAGACTCTTCTTGCTGCATGTTGCTCTACTTTGAGGCAATTTGGTGAGTCTTTGTTTCCTCTGCCAGAAACCAGCCGAAATTACAGAGTTTTGTGCAGGGTCTGGGAGTTCTCATTGCACCACATGGTATGGTCTGCAAGGAGGAGACCCAGGCATGCACCACAGCAACAGGCTTTTCTCTCCTACACAAGCCCCTGTTTCTAAAGGAAGGATACCTGGATAAAGAGGCAGAGCTCTAACTGAGACAACCGAGGACACAGAGACTCAGATCATTCAACATGTACCTGCCCTGCCCTCTAGATGAAGATGTGGGAATCCAGCACAGGCACACGTTGAGATTTCACCTTCAACTAACATCGCTTTCTTTTATCTTCCACTGCAGCATTTTCCTCTTCCTCCAGAAGTGCATTTCCATGGTCAGTCCTCCAAGAGCATAAGGAAGCCATTTGGGCAAGAGACACAACAGCGACAAGGGGACAACCAACCAGCCTTGCTAAGGCCATGGGGACATGCTGATGGAGAGCCAAGACGAACCCAGCCTTTCTACCCACCAGTCTTAGCACAAGATGGAGCCATCCCCCTTCCTATGAATAGGCTTCCGTGTGAGCTGTGCTCAAGAGTAAAATAAGTTACAATCCCCTCACCCTTTCCTCTTGAGGGAGCAGATCAGCAGGTGGATTTATGCCTCAGTGAGGCTCATCTGGGGCAATAGTACACCTGCCCTGATGAGCACTTACTGGTTGGGTCCCCAGCTGCCCCCAGAATTCTCACACAGCAGCTTTCCCTTCTGCATCACCCCCTCCAGTTTGATTTAAGGTTGGAGGCTTTAACTCCTTCAGCATCCTTCTGTAAGTATTTCTCAGGTGACTGATTTCCTCCTCCGTTTCATTAGGGGCACCCAGCTCATGCTGTTCTCCCAGCAGAAGCCACACTCCACTTGTCACAGCTATCCCCAAACAGCTCTGTAATTTCTCCCCCCATCACAGCAAAGGCAAAGCCCAGGGGACATTTATTAAGAAACAGACACAGTAGCTTTTTATAGTTAAGCTTGGGTCATTAATCTCTATCAAGAGCTTTCATAATCTTCCTCAGGCTCACCGTATTTGTTTAACTCTCTGATAGTCACTGCATGGGTCTTGGGATAATTGCAGATTAACTGCTTTTCAATATTAATGGCTCTTCATTAATGCTTTGAGCTCTCCCTACTCCAGAGCCTGCAGCTTCCTACAGGCTGCCTGGTGCAAATTACTTCCCTTTTGTAGTTTGAGGCCAAGTACAGTGAAACAAGCCCAAATCTTTGTGCTATGGCTGTTTGTTTAACAAAGGAAGAAGGCTTTTCCAGGTGTATTTTGGAGTAAGAGCAATTTCTTTGCCAGGAACAGAGTGGGGTCAGGCAGTGTCTGTGCCAATCTGGCTTAAGTCTTCTCAACTGAATTAAAATTCTCTTAAGAGCAATCCCCTTCTTTGTCAGCTCATTGAAATACTAATTCAGGGAGCTGGGAGGCTCCTGAGGCTGCAGACAATGCAGAAGATCCACCTCAGAACAGGAGGGATTTTTAGTTACCCACCTTAAGGCACCCCGAGGAGGATGTGAGGGCACAAGCAGCACCTAGACTACATGAAACCCACAGAGAACTGACAAGACGGCTGCAACTCAGCCTTAATAAGCATAGCATTCACAAGGTGGTTTCCTAAGAGGGTGGGTCAAGAACTGGGATGGGCTGCCCAAGGAAGTGGTGCAGTTTCCCACACCTGGAGATATTTAAGAGATTTATGGACTAAGGGACATGGTTTGGTGGTGGGACCTATTAGGTCCAGCTGATGGTTGGAATTGGTGATCCTGAATGCCTTTTCCAACCTGTGATTCTATAGTAATAATCTTCTATTCAAAAAATATCAAAGGACACAATGTTTTTCCATAAGCTTAAAGCTCTCTGTATTTATCCCCCAGCTGCGAGTGGCTGACACAAGCCAGTTCTGCATCCAGAACCCCCTCCAGCATCACCCAGGTGCAGAGCTGCATCCAGACACCTCTGAAAACCTTCATCCTGCCCAGTGATGAGTGAGCAAGGGTGCCAGAGCTGCCTCTCGCTATCTGGTGGTCAGAGGCAGCTTGAGGTGGGACTTCAACCCCAGAGCCTTGTCCACCACATCGGGGGGCTGCAGGCTGTGCCACTGGGCGAGGGGACGCCGTGGGTTGGACAGCATGTCAGACCAGTGCTGCAGCTGGTTACCAGTGGCCCGACAGCCCAGGAAGAGTTTGCCGATGGGCTCATTCTTGGTCACTTTGTCATAGTCCCAGACGGAGATGACCACATCCACGTTCTGGTGGGGACACAGGAAAAGCTGTCAGTCGCACCTTCATCAGAGCAGAGGCCTGCTCAGCCTTGGGCACTGAAGAGAAACCCACCTGAATCTGATTGAAAGGCACCTCAAAGACAAATGCCTCATTGAAATAAGGGCTCAAAGTATTTTTCTTCACACTCGTCTTCTTCTTCTTCCACTTCTTCTTGTTCAAGATGAGATGCACCTTGACAAAAGGATCTGAGGAGAGAATGGACATGGCTCCACACCAAGAGTCCTTGAGGTTTTACAGGTCTTGGTGCTATCAGTAGCACCAGGTAGAGAGATGTGAGTGCAAGCAGACCCTGCCTACCTGAGAGCCCATGGGAGTCCATCCGCTTCAGCTTCTTGGCCTCAAGGATGAGCACTGTCAGCTTGCCAGTGCTGGGGACATAGCGCAGTGAGAAGCAGATCTCACCCAGCCGCTCTTGCTGATAGAGAGAGGGGTCAGT